AATAGAAAGTGTATGTTTTACCAGAGTACACGAGAAGCACACAAAAAAGACGAGTGGACCACTACTTTATTTTTCACAGTAAACAATGGGGGGTGGCTAGTCACCCTATTCACGCCCCCACCCCCCCAGATCCACCACTGCAAACATATTTGTCACAGCAAATCTGATAGTGTGATCAGAGCTTTATAACTTACTTGTTTGTTTTACTTGGTTTTATGATGTGATTGTGATATGACTGCAACATGGCCTCCATCACTGCATCCATTAGATCATCAGTAACAGAGAAGTTGGCAATGTAATCAAGGATTGTGTCAAACAGTAACTGTAAACAGAATGACAAGAATGGTTGAGCCCTGTCTGCACATTAAAATACTTTTATACAAAATCAGTGTGATTGGCCCATAAATAGACATGATGATGTCATACCATAAACATATATGAGCAAATCATACATAATAAACTTGTATCAAACTACTTGTGAACAAATTTAATTGTGAACAGTCATATGATTTTAGGCTTACACTTTAAATGATCGAGGCCAACCTCTCAATACATGAGGGCACTCGAGAGATATAGTGTTTCAGTTGTGGATCCAGACAGGCGAAATAGAGGGGGCCCAGGGAAGGACTTCTACAGATGGAGGGTTTAGACCAGCTGAGCCCCACCATGGTTAGGGCTCAGGTATGAAATTTTATGACTAGGCAGTGCTAGATGTTCGCAAAAAGGTATTTTTCGTCTGATTTTTTAACCCTTTGAACCCGAAAGGCCGGAAAAACGGCTGTGCGCTTACGCTGCAATAACCCTAAAGGCCAGTATACTGGCTTTGCGGGTCAGGTGATGTTATTCAGGGTAATCACCTGACCAGTATGAGTAATGACATAATTTTGTGACATCATCATTCCCAAGTCGTTCTGACAGCCTCGTCCTTTTCGTGTCGAAAACCTTAGTCTGACCTTGTTAATGATCCCATCATCCTAATAACAATACAGTAATCGGAAGAGAGTATGGATTTTTACTAGAGTTTTGACCAATTCACTTTATCTCACATCAAAGAAACTGTCTGTGCTGTGCTGATGCCTAATTATTCATATCAAATCTAGCATTACTTACATGCAGCTTGTGGTTAAAACCATGCATCTTGATAATGAAGCCAGTCTCTTCAGTGCGGAAGCTGTAGCTGAGCTCAGCTACCTCTGCATTGTACGCGACCTCATTCATATTATGCTCAAGCAAACTAACAAAGAAATCAAAGAGACACAGATGCATAGCAGACTGGTTCACCAACAAGCTCTTCAGGTGAATGCAGATAAACGCTGCAAGAAACAAGTTTAATGATCATAGATTTACCTCTCAGATTTTATACAGCATTTCCCTAAATCATGGCAAGTCTCAAAAGTACTTTTCACATTACTGTATTAGGCCTCAAACCGAAAGGTCCACTGATTAATCTCAGATAAGAAAGTATAATACATACTCCAAGTATTGAAATACACGCCATCGTGTTGGGATTCAATATTTCGACATTAATTATGTCATCATCAGGGATGATGACATAATTAATGTCGAAATATTGAATCCCAACACGATGGCGTGTATTTCAATACATGGAGTATGTATTATACTTTCGTATTAGGCCTCATTGTTCATATTGTCAATAATTGTACATATTGCAGGCTACATTGTTCCCCTGGTTATTGCTACACCCATTTTCTATTGTTTATTCATATGTAAATTTTTATGCAGTCCATCCAAAGAAAGAACAGTGCGAAAAGTACTGTTGCAACATTGGCTGTTCCCTGCAGTTTAAGGGTCATAATCTTGTATTTAAGTGTTAATGTTTGTACCACTAAACTACTGTAGAGTAAAAATAAACACATAACAGCTGAATAAATGCATTAACTCTACATAAATTTTCATCACAACCTGATAACGTTTCACATCGTAATGTCATCCATTGAAATTAGCTCTGAGCTTTGCTTTACTATAGTTTGCAAAGACAAGTGAGTAAATTTTATTACTCAAATCATCTAGAGGGCTCACTCACATCAACATGGAGAAAAACAATTTTTTGTTACCTTTTGGTAATTTGAACTTATTGTCCATTTTATGCCAGACACACCCTTGTTCTGTGTCCAGTATCTTTAATGGATGTTCAGATGGTGGTCCATCATCAGTCTTCAAGCTGAAATCATCCGCTATAAAGTAAGGTTGAAAAGTTTTTAATAAAAACTACTGAAGAAAATGTAACGGCTTGATATCCTAAAGTAAGCAGGACAATTCAAGGATAAAACTGGAGTAAACTGGAAGATATGGAGAGCAGTTGTAGTTTGGCTCCTAGCCCTGAGATCTTAGTTTAATTTAAATGCCATTTCCCTGGCACTCTATAACGCTCTGTACAGACTATCAAATTTGCAGTCATGGTGTGCCAAATTGTGGTCATGATGTGATGTCATCATAACCATATTTTTCAGCATGTCACATAATGCTACATTTGTCTTCAAGGCTACATTTATCTCCATCCACCCAGGAGTATAATAAATGGGTAAATTTTTAGGGATTTATCAACTTCAGTTTGGAAAATATCTTAAGTCAAAAAAGATAAAAGAGTTCAGGTGAACCGCAGCGAACTATATCAAACCATGCTGGTTTAAAAATAATCTTAGCGAATGTATATATTAATATATTTGTAATAGCCCGTTTGAGGTATAAAGCCTCCGGGTTCCCTTAGTAACTTCTTTTTTGGAACTTTACAAACAATATGATATAGAATACAATAGGCACAACACAAAATAAATCCAAAGCTGGAATATACTTTTAAAAAGTCAACAAGTATATTTATGAACACTTACCAATAAAGATATTTGGATGTGGAAGATGTAGATCAGGGTGAACCTCAGAATCTAATAATAATAATTATTATTATTATTATAAATAATATTTGTTTATATATGCACCAATGACTATATCTTATAGGTTACACAACCAAATATTAAGTTAAAATTCACAGAATAATAAAACTTACTATGGTAGTCTTGTATCCATCTCGAGGGCACTTGTTCAATCTTGTAGGCAGTCTGATACCAGGGCTCCACCTGATCACATGACTCCTGGTATGTCTTTGACCACAGCATGTAATTAGCAGACTCGGCCGTTAGTTGTGAGAGACATTCGTTAATTGCCTGGGGAGGAAACAATCCAAGAAATGGAAAAAGTACCTTCATATCTACAAAATAATATGATGGCACTGATATAAGGCTCCGGGTTACAAAGTCCCTGGATCAACCGCTCGCAACCACTCAACTAGTGAGTGGGAACTAAGATAATTTTATATACAACAGTTGCTATATGACAATCATAAAATTGTTGCGATGCGAAAAACTTGCACTGACTGAATCTGAAGAGCTTGTGTGTAGACAATCCACTGGCAGTATCTCTCCCAGCACAAAAATAGTCATTACATCCAGAACCATGAGTATGACATGAGCTTTCAAATGTGCTACAGTCTTATTCACAATAATAATTAAAATTCAAAGTGTTCAAAGATACAGTAGCATCAAAGTTAAGATTATGCATTACCAAGTTTTAACAATTATCAATGCTTGAGTATATGAATTTTGGCATTTCAATATAAACCAAATGTTACCATACCTTGTGGTCATATTCAAATTGGAGTAAGTGCCCTGTGAGGTAATGCTCCAGTGGGTAAGTCTGCATATTATCTGAAATCAGTTCCACATTATCAACAGCATCCATCTAATTAGTATTCATCAAAAAAAAATAAAAAAAAAAATCTGTAAATTACCAATCTATATTAAAAAAATTGTCATTGCGTTGACGGACTTTTGAAGCTATTCAACAGATGAGGCATGCACGATGAATGTTTTTTTTAGCGATTTGCTAAGACTACCACTAACCATCAGCAGACGACATTGTGGTAAGCACTCAAAGTACAGACGAATTTGTCACCAACTCTCGACGTCCGACGTACTGTGTGCCAAGCTTAATAGGTGCTATTTTATCTTAATTTGTCCATCGTTCCTGGTCATTGGACTGCTTCACAATTGCTTAGCAAAAGGTTACAGTATTAGAATGGGAGTATGGTCATACCCAAAGGGTTTATTTTTATGTGGGTGCCAGGGAGGGGCCGACAATTTAATTAATTAGCTGGCGCTTGTGAGGAAGTTTGCGAAAGTAGGCTTACTCAGGAGAAATATATGCATAAAATAGAAATGTTATGCTTTCACTACATAAGAGGCGTTCACAATTACCAACATAGCCATGTCTTTAATTCCATACAGCTGCTCACTTTCAACTAGTCACCCAATATTTTTACACTCGGACTCATGGTATACTTTCTATGCCTTTGAATATATATTTTTAAATTGGTGCATTAAAATTGATTGTATATAATTATTGTAATTAAACATTTAATAATACCACACAGTGACTTGCATAATGGAAGTGTTAGATGAGAGCCTTTATTTTTCTAAATTTACTATTATTAGCAATTGTTATCATTTAGTATCTTTATACAATTTGTATCTAATTACTGTACCTCCTCTTGAAATCGGAATGCATTGTCGTCTATTGTCTTTATCTCATCAAATATCCTTAGAAATTAAAAAGAATTAGGTCAAATTTAATCATAACAATTCAACACCATTTTTCTCATCAACACTGTCACAACCATTAAAATTATCACTACAATTACCACTTAGAGACCTTGTTTATTTGCGTTTTATAATTCTACCTATTATTATATCATTATCATTATCATCACCATCATAAAAATCATCACTACAATTGAGTAGAGTTGAGTAGCGTACTCTCGCTGGTTATTAAACTGAGTATGTGGAAGTATTGTATAATTTACTACAGAGAAGCCGTCAAACTTTACTCATAAATTTTGCAATAGTAAGTTGATTTCAGTAAATGACCCATTATTTTTAATCTGATAATGTGGATAATATATTAAAAAGTCAATTTCAATTTGTTGGTCACGATACGATACTTTATTGTTACAACGGTATAAATACAGTTATGAGATATGGTTCCTTAAATACAATCATATTAGTTAATATAGAAAAATAATTAAAATACATAAAATTGCACAACAGAAATTGCTTAGAATTAAAATGCATTGCAAGAACTACAGAGTGTGAGTTAAAGGCAAGATAAACTGTACAATGGTTTATCTATTGAACTGCATATTAAAATTATGACTGCTGATGGAATGAATGCAATGGCAAGCTTGGGACTTCACTTTATGATTATTACCATCTCTATCATCACCGTCAGCACCACTGTCATCATCGTCCCACCTTTATTTCACTGCTGCCTTACCTTTTCTGTGACCCAACTTTTTGCAACATTTTAATATATTGGAAGATTATAGATACAACCTGGAAAAAACAAACACAGGCAAGAATTATTGCTTAATAACTAGTCTGGGAGGGAACATTTTACATTTTACATAAAAAAAGAAAAAAAATTACCTCATCTATGTTGGTCAGCCCTGCTGTTGTCAGCTCAACATTAATGCTAAAAATTGCACAAGTTTCATTGTATTCAAACCCAGTTCCATCATTTCCACCAAATAGCTTAAGAGCAAATGATCTAGAAAAAAAACACAAAATAATTGTTTCAGCATTGACTAAAATTTTATTGATTAATTAATTTATTTATTTTTTATTTTAAAATAATACACATACACAGAACAGAGAGCAAGATGTTAAACTCACATTTTGTTTTTTTGATGAAACGTGATATTTTCAGGAAAAATATAAGAATCATTCTAAACAGTGGCGGATTCGAATATAAGTCGAGAGTGCCATTTCATCTGGAGGTGCCATAATCATAAATTTTCTAACCTAAGCCAACCAGGTTGGAGCTGAGGTGGTATTGACCCCTATCAGTGAAAGTACTTCCCTGGGCCCCCCTGTATTTCAAATTCCTGGATCCACCACTGTTAAATTCTGTGTTTTCTTCTTATTAAAACAATACATTTAACCAAAGTATACTGTGATGATTATATTTCTTAAGTGAATGCCATGAAGTGTAAAGTGACATTTTTGGATACAAATATTTTTTATAAGAAATGAAAGGTATTAGAATCAAACCTTTTCTTGAGCCTAGCTAATATACTGCCATGCCCCTCATGACCGATCAGCCAAGATAAGTAATGAAGCGGTTTACACCTGAAAGTATATAATCAAATAGTACTTAAAAATATAAATATATATAATATAATATACAAAATAATATGCAGGATAAACAATAAACATACAGTGTCAAGGGTCACAAGTCTTCTGTGAATAGTGGGAGTTTATCGGGAAATTAGCACGGTTTTCTCACTCTTGTAAGGAAAAATCTCCCGGAAACTAACCACAAATTTAGAATACTTGAAGGTTTTTACGAACTGATGTTTGCAATACCTGACTTGCTATATACCATAGTACTGAATGCTCAGTATGCGAAAAACACCATCTGACTTGCTGTTACTTGGGGACAGTATCCATCACTAGCCACCAAAAGCAAGCTTGGTGGTTGAGTGGTTAAGATACCAGGTTAGATATCTGGAGGTCATGGGTTCAATTCCCACCAAATGTGAATCGGTTTCATGATTTTTGTTCGGGAGCATTTGGGAACATACTGAGCATTCAGTACTACGGTATACTGTATAATAGCACATCAGGTAAACACAAACGTTGTGCTTACTTGTATTCTTTGAACAAACATGGAAATTTCCAAGTTATTTCCAACTGGTTCACATCTTTTACAGGCACAACTGGAAGTCAAGAATAATGCAACAAACAAAATTAAATAACAGTGGTCTTTTGATAAAAAATTAAAATGCTTTTTAGGATGGTCTTGTGTTATGGTTCTTATAACTTGGTAAACCTACTTTTGTATAGTTTGTGGAACTTGTCTGACACAAAAGGATTTGCATGTAAAGAGTACATTGGCTTAGGAAGACCACTGCAAGAAAAATATAGTTCATTACATTATAATATGACATATCAACTATTGTTACACCACTTCTTTGTTCCAATCATCACCCCTCGGTGGGAGCTACCGGAGCCCAGCATAGTGTTGTCTAGGTACCTGTGTGTACACAGTAGTGACGGCGATGCTATCTCTTAATCTGGGGTGTGTACCTTTCTCCTCCCCTTCACATTCGTGCCTGTTCATAAATTAAATTTTAATTTCTTAGTGGCTAAAAAAGCGCCTTGATATGGTTCTTACTGTGGAAGGCACTATAAAAATACATGACCATTGTCCATTGACTCCTGCAGCAGCCCAAGCTATTATTGTTGTCATCATCATTACCATCTTTATATGTATACCTCATTAAACATACCTAGTCACCTAATGCTCTTGCCTTTACTTTCTACTTACTTGGAGGGGATGTCTGAGAACGATTCCCTTACCCACTCCTCAAGTGTATCCAAACTTTCTGAAAAATAATTAATACACAACTCTGATCAAGGGTCAAATTAAATTTCCCACTACCTTTTTTTGTGATCATATTCCCTGACCCACTCCTCTAGTGTATCCAACATTCTGACCAAAAAAAAAACCCTGTGTTCAGAGGCTGAAGGTCAAGAGTCACATTAAATCATCTACTATTGGTCATCATCAACTAATCACCACAAACTACTCCTCCTCCAGACATGTACACAAACAACCTCTGACACAAACACCACTCACCTGTAGACTGTACAGCAAGTGTCATATAATCACTGGAATACATTGCGTGTCTGAATTTCTGAAGTCGTTTGTGTACTTCAATACCTTTGCTAACTGGATCCAATTTCAGAGTTGTGGTATTGCCTGCAAACAGATCCAAAAAAAATATTTCAAACTCATAGAATAAATCTGGGCACAGAGTTGCTTGTCTGTCAATGTCAGACAAACAATATTTGATCAGACTTTGTTTATACTTGATTTTGACATATCCATCAATCAATCAATCACCTGATATTTGAAATGTCAACTTCCACAACAGAATGCAAGGTTCACTGGTGCAACGATGTATATCTGACCAACAGTATTTTTTTTTCCTTGTTTGTTCAATGTTTGAGCAAATGTTTGTTATGTTTTATAGATAAAAAATATGTTATGATATGTTTTTCAAATAAAAATATGGTAAATATGCTATAAACCTGCTACAATTACAAGGAAGGGATAAATAAATATCAACTTACCCCACATAAATTTTCCAAGTGGGTGACCTTCTTTAGTGAAAGTACCAAACAACTGCTGTTTACGAAAATGATCAGCCGGAAGACTCATTTGAAATTCTATAGTTTGAAAAATTAACACATACAGTGCATAAAAATCTTAATAAATATTAAATAGTATAAATAACATTATTATTATAAATATTAAATAGTATTAAATAACATTATTATATAAAACGTGTACACTCAGTTAGTTTTAGGAGTTCATGAATGTTTTTGGATTTTTTTTTTTTAGTGTATTGTTATGTACATTATGTGCCACAAGACTCATTTCAAATTCTATAAATTTTCTTTTTTAAACTAGCACTCATGTATAAAAAAGTTAACAATATATTATTCAATATTATAAATAGCATTATTACATAAAATGTGTATGTGTTATTTAAAATGTTTTTAGACAAATAGCACAGTTATAAGCACTTTTATTCTTATTATTACAATTCTTTTAAAGCGTTACGTTGTAATCATAAACTACATTTTATTGATAAACTGAACATTTCCCAGTCATAATAATAATAGATACAAGGTGTAATGGTAAACTTTCTTTCTGAATTAAGCTGTAACAGGGCCATTACAGGTTATTGCCCGGGGCAGAACACAGCATTTGTTAAAAGTAGAATTTTGTTTACCACTATCGACAGCTTCCAGTTCTCTGTCAGTGCTGGATTCCTTCATCAGGGGTGAGATAAAGAACTGAGCAAAGCGGTCCAATCCCTCACGGAAGAAGTTGCTATCAATTTCAAATTGAAATTCAGTCTAAAAAAGTAAATATACTTTATTGGCATTCACCACTTACATGGGTTGCGCT